TTAGTAATATAAATTACCTGCAAAGATTGATATTTATATACAAAATTTTTGATTATTTCAGGGTTTGATAATAGATTTTCAATACAACTTTTAATAGGACGGTAATATATAAAATATTTTTTATTTTTATAGTCGAATATACAATATTTTGAATGTGGTAATTTTTGTATATTCATTATGTCCATATATTTTCGACCAGTTTCGATATTTTTAGGAAGAGGAAAAATAGATAAATTAGAATGTTTATTAAAAAATTTAATAATTGCGTTTTCAGCTTTATTATTTAAATTATGCTTTATTACAAGTTCCATCAAGTTGGCATATGCTTTGTTTGGAAATTTTATAGCATTTTCTTCAAATTGTTCATCAGGTTCTTCATAATTACTCTGTAGACTTTCAGACAAAACTTGTTTAAAATTATCATAATTTTCTACATTTGACTCTTCAGATCGATCGAAATTACTTTGTAAATTGTAATCTTTCGAAAAATCACTTAAAGCGTTAATATTTTCAATATTTTCATAAGATGCAGGTGACATATTTTGATTTTCGTACTCATTAGTTATAAATGGCAGACTTTCTTTCCGAACAATTTACAATTCTTCAATTCGATTAGAATCTTTGTCATCAAGTGACATATCATTTATATCATTATGAGTTTTATTAACATGTTGAGCGTATACTTGTCGAGATGAAAAATAACGATCACAATATAGGCATTTGAAGTTTGGCATTTTTATAAAATTATATTTGAAATACTTCAAAATTAATTAAATTTTTTAAAAAAATAATAATTTTGAAAATACTTTACATATTTCTTTTATACTTTTCAAATTCTTATATTTTTTTTTAGCAATTAAGAAATTTTCTTCACAATTATAATTTTACGTCAAAAAAAATATTTATTATTTCAAGAAATTTTCTTCACAACTATACTTTTACGTCAAGAAAAATATTTATTATTTCAAGAAATTTTCTTCACAACTATACTTTCACATCAAGAAAAATATTTATTACTTTCATAATAGAAACTTTGGTAAATGTAAAAAATGTATTACTAACTAAATATAGTAT